ACCCCGGCCTCCGGGCACCCCCCACCTCCAAAGCCCGTCCAGCTCAGTCTAAGGCAGGCCTGGTCACATTCATCTGCACGTGCAAACCGACTCACCAAACCCCTGGTCCAGTGTGATCACCATGAACCTCTGAGGAAGTCGGTGGACACCTCTGCTCAGCCTCCTCCCGTGGACTCCAAGGACGGCAGACTCCAATCCCAGATCCCCGCTCTGGCCTGGGAATCTCCGCCTCTGACTTGGTCTTCATGTCCTTTTCTCTTGCCCCTGGCTCCCTCCCTCCCGGCCTCCTGTTTGGCCATGACCTGTCCCTCCCTCTGCCTCCCTCCTCCCCAGTCAGTGTCCCAGGATCCCTGCTGGTCCGGCTTCTCCTCCTTACACACTAAGCCCAAGGTGGGCTCTGGGAGTGGCCTTCCCTGGCCACTGTCTGAGGCCGCTCCCATCCGTGTCACAGCACCCTGTTGTAGGTGGTTTGCAGACCTGCGACTCCCTGAGCTTGGGTAGCTCTTGCTTTGACTCCTGCTATTTCCTACACCAGCTGCAGACTCTGGAGCTCGGGAGCCAGCTGGTCTCCCCACACTCAGCCCCGCAGGCCTTGGGGAATGGCACCGTGCGGATGTCCACGCCCGCCGCAGCCCCAGCTCCGTTATGACGTGCTTCCGGGGCAGCCTTGGCTCAGAGCAGCAGTACTGACACGGCACTGACCACCTCTCAATGGCCCGTCCTCACGGGCTGGTGGCAGCCTGGAGCTTGCTCACTAAGGTGATAGAAACAGGTCTTTGATACAAGCTTTTACCTGCCAGAGCCACAGTTTTCCCAGCCCAGCAGGGTGACACTCAGGCATTTGTGGCTGGGTGATCTCAGGCCAGGAGACGTTGCCATTCTTGGGTCTTAGAATCTCTGGAAACTGATTCTGGACCCTATTGTAAGGGATGTGAAGCAGCAGGTCTCACCAAACTCTGGACACAGCTTCCAGGCATTCGGGGAGCTGAAGCTCACACAGACCCTGGGAAAGGACCCGGTTCCAGACGGACTTGCCTTAACGGGTGACTTTGCTGGCCCAGGCAGGCAGGAGGTCCCAGCACGGCTAGGCTTACCCAGTGCGGACCGAGGTAGAGCGGGTCAGAGGAGTGAGATGGCAAGGAAGAAGAGGGGCGGGTGGACAGTGAGCGGGGAAGTTTAAGAAGAGCTAGGAACCAGGCGTGAGAACACAGCTCATGAGAAAGACAGGAATCCTCGGAAAGAGCGAGCCTCCTGCCAACGGTCTCAGGCACCATCCTGACCCTCTTGGGTGGAAGAAGCTGCTTGTCCCCTTACATTTGAGACTGACAAAGACCAAGAAACTAATTCAAATAGATCACAATACGCTGGTGTCTGCTTAGATGGTATAACACCATGCACACGGCAACAGATTCACTTCCAAGACCACAGCAAGGGACACGTGTCTTTGAAACCATTCTATTTGCTAGGGGAGGGACTGGGTCCTTGCACACATTCCCTGTGTCCCGTAGTGAAGACAAGAGTACGTGCTAGGAGGCTAACAATGGAGTTTGAAGATCATCTTCAGGGCAACCAAATCTTGAGGTAATGTGGTAAGATGACGTGGGGGTCTGTTAGAATAAGGTCTGTTAGAACAAGGTCAGACGGAGAACTACTTTGCTAGTTGGCCAAATTTTGATGATGACACATATCCTTAAGTATAATTCAGTGGGCTTCTGTTGTTCTCCTGAGAAATTCAGCACGATCATTAGCATTTTTAATGTTTTCAAAGCACACTGTAAACCGTCTACAACCTCAGAAGTGTTGCTGAGATATGGAAGGTACAGAAAGCACAACCCATCTCTCGTCACTGCCCAAAAGATGTGGAGATTTCCTATGTAAGTTTATCCTCTGAGCCCACTTTAATAAGTTTCTTAGGGAAAATATAAGAAGATCCTGATTTTTGTTCCATTTCACTGAAGATAGTTCCCCCTTTTGACTTCCTTTATTCTCTGTAATGCATTAAAATAAGACTTTCTACAGCACCCAGTCTACTACGTGCAGGATGAAATCTCGGTCAAGGACAGACGTGTGTGTGGACCTGTGACGTCACATCTGTTTTAGTGTGTCAGGTGCACTCTGCTCACACGACAAAGAAACCACCCGCTGGTCCAGCCACTGAGCAACGGATGCTCTGCTGTGCCTCGTCTGGCCATTGCTGTGCAACTCAGAACCCGGGGGTCTCCGTCTGCAGGCAGGAAGGGTTGGAAGTGGTGCTAAATTGTTGAAAGCAAGTGGCAGCATGTGACAAGGGCCTGCGATGTGGTCAGCACTGAGAGAACTGCCCCACCAGCCACAGTTGTTGTGCTATCACACTCCTCTCCGATTCCTTTATCCTTCCCACTCACATAAAATCAGTATCCGATTCTTTTGGCTTTACCTCAAAAAATATTCTCGTAATCGTCCCCTCCTTTCCATTTCTGCTGTCACCTTCTGAATCTGTTTTGCTGATTTCATCTCCCCTTTGGCAGGGATTGGCTACGGGAGGATTGTTGTCCTTGGGTGGGGCGACCAGGTGACTCTTCCTGGAGCGAGCCTTTCTGCTCCCCGTTCAAAGTGAACAGCCGTCTGTGCTTCCTCAGTGTCCACCAACTAAAGCAAGACTGCTGCTCTTCAGCGTCTACCCAGCCATGCCTTTCCATACACACCCACTGTGTCCAGAGAGATGCATTAGCCTGTCCTGGGATCCACTGCCCCCAGGCACCCCTCGGAGTCCACATTCCCTGCTCTATCCAGGCCGCGGCTTCTCACTCTGCAGCGTGGTAGTCTGTAGTGTGTATTTTATATGGAAACCTTTGGGCAGCACTGGAGAGTGAGGAATAAAAGCAGGACGGTGCTTCTGTGGTGGTTGTGGAGATGCAATTAACAACGAACCATGACTAGAATAGCTCCCTGTAGTAAGTGCTCAGTAAATATTAGCTATTCTCATGGTCTTCTGGTATTGATGGCTCCTTTTCCAATACTTTTCCTGGCAAGTGTTTATTGGACTTGCATTTAGAATCAATTACTCCCAAACCTATTTCTTATAGGCACTGGGAGGAGTTCTTTTCATGCTTTAAGATATATGGTGTCTGCTAACTCTTACCTGCTGTGATTGATACATGATTTGAGTAGATAATTTTGTGCTCAACTTTTTTGATTTAAAAATAGTTTACAAGTCAACCTAGTATGTGAATAAAATAATTGTTGTTAGGTAACACGACATTGTAATTCTATTTAACGCTCTCTACCGCATACCCTCATACCAGCAAGTGCCAAGTAGCTCCTTAAGAACTGGTTTCAATGCCCCTTATCTTGCCAAGCTTTTGCACAGTGATTGATGAAATGAGAAGAGGGATGTTTTATGTGAGGCTCTCCAACACCTGGCAAGGCTGCCCCGTTTTGCCGATTGGCTACACTGAGGTTTACACCAACCTGTTTCCTGTGGCTGCAGTGCCATCCAGGGAGAGGGCTATGCCCTAGAATGCTTCCGCTCCGAGCTATGCTGGGTCACTTCCAGGAGTCCCTCCCGCTGGTTGATCTCACAGGTGTTGTAACTGAGTCCACCTGGATGCTCCCTCCTGTTCTGCCTAATGAAAAGACTGGCAGCAGGTTCATGGTCACTATGCAGCTATGGTGTCGGAGTCTAGCAGGGAGTTTCTTACTGGGTTTCTTCCTGATTCCATTTTATTTACTTATTTATTTAATTAATTCTTTCCTACTCATTTTTCAATCTGAGCCATCTTGTTCAAGTATGTCCTTGATTATCTTAAATCTGTTTTCAAACAACATAGGGAATACATAAAAAGAAATTTTTACATTTGATGCACATTTCTGTTAGCCTTGAAGCAGATTGACAGCGGAACAAGAGGTCTTTGGAGGGAGTGGCACCGGGCTTTGAGTTCCAGCCCTGACACTGGATAACTGCGGACTTGGAACAAGTTATTCAACCTTTCTGTTTCTTCTCTGTGAAATGCAAATAAAAATCCACAACTCACAGAGATGTCTTGGGAATTAAATAAAATGACTCATGTAAATTACTCTGTGCATAGTAAGCATTCAATAAATGTCCATTCACTTCTTATCCCAGTTAATAATGCTTATTAGACTGTATTAAAAACTAGAGCCAGACTGTGATAATGCATTTCTTTATTAAGTATTTAAGCCAAATAACTAATTTCCCCCAGGGACAAGAGAAATGTTGAGTTAGTCTCACTTGGTGAACTTATTTATTCATTTCTTTTTCTTCAAGTTTATTTGGTTTCATAGCCCATAATTCAGTTTTCAGGCCACACAATTGACACAGGCTGGTGTGCATTCTAACTTTGTTATGATAAGAGTTTTTTTTTTTTTTTTTTTTTAATCTACTATTACTTCTTCCTTTTATTAGAGATCGTTATTAATCACATTAACATCCTGGTTGTGCTTCATAACTACTTTGTGCTGACAAACTTGCTCTCAACTGTTTCCTTGAGGTCTAAGGACTGAAAGAATCAAGTTTTAAATGCTGTGCTGCAGCAAAAGAAAACCAGGGGTGAGGCGGAGGGATCCACACCGTCTGTGTCCTTTCCCGTTAATTTTATAGGTTTGCATTTAAGAGGAGCCACGTTTTCCTCAAAGACGCAGCCCAAGAAAGGGCGGCGAGAGAAGGGGGAACCCGCTGAGCCGGAGCGGGCTTACCAGGGCACCTTTAAGGGCCCGGGGCCGGCGCTGCCTCCTCCGGGCCCACCTCTGAACTCTGATTGACAGCGCGCCGGGCGGGGAGGAGCGGCGGCGGCGGCGGCGGCGGCGGGGGAGGCGCGGCGGGGCGCGGGGCGGGGCCCTCGCTTCCAGGGCGACCAATCAGGGCTCGGGGCGGGGCTCCAGGGCCCGCCCCGCCCCGCCCCGCGGCCCCCTCCCCTCTCCTCCTTCCCGTCCTCCTCCTCCGCCGCCGCCGCCTCCTCCTCGCAGGCTGTGGTTTCTGTATATGTTTCTGGAGTCCTGAGCCTGAGCTAAACAAAAGCAGGAGGCTGACGGGGCCGCCGGAGTTTGCAGAGACGCGGAGGAGGAGAGAGCCGGTGCTTTGCCTGCCGGCGGCCGGGGGATCTGGCTTTGGCCACAGCCCACCCCCTTTGAGATCACTCTGGCCCGGAGTGGGGGCGGGGGGCAGCGGGGGGTGGGGGGAAAGTTTGCCTCGCAATCCCCCCGCCTTCCTCTCCTTTCTCCCGATCAATGCATATTTGCAAAAGGATTAAGCCACAGATTTAAGCGCCGGGAGCCCATTTCTGCCTTGCACAGGAGATCGGACTGAAAACCCAAAGCCAGCTCTGGTTTCTTTTCGCCAAGTGGGAAGGTGGTTTATTTTTCTTGCTTTTTGGAGTCAACACCCTTCCCCATCAGCTCTTATCCCCACCCTCACCCCGCAACCCCCTCACGCCCCCTCCCCCTCCCCGCTCTCCATCCTCCCACCAGCCTCCAAAGAGGCAGAGGGATTTTTTTTTTTTTTTTTTCTTTTGGTCTTCTTTCCCCGTCCCTGATTATCCTGAAAAGGATCTGAAGGCAGCTTGAAGGATCAGAAGCCTCGGTGCTCCCGGAGCCGAGCCGCGGAGCAGCGCCCAGAGCCGGGCTGCCAGCCTTCGGAGATGGACGAGCAGCCCCGGCTGATGCATTCCCACGCCGGGGTCGGGATGGCCGGGCACCCCGGCCTGTCCCAGCACTTGCAGGACGGGGCCGGCGGGGCCGAGGGGGAGGGCGGGAGGAAGCAGGACATCGGAGACATCTTACAGCAGATCATGACCATCACCGACCAGAGTTTGGACGAGGCGCAGGCCAGGTGAGATGGAGGCTTCCCTTCTCCTTTCTTGGGTTTTGTTTTTCTCCCTCTCGCAGGGAGAAACAATGGGGACCGAGTCTCCACAGCGCTTTCTTTAAAAATGTTATTTCTCTCCCCATTTTGACAAGCAACTACATGGCGGAGGAGCAGAATTTGAAGGAGCCTTGTTATGGAAAGTGTGCTCGCCCCTGCCGAGGGTGGCTGTGCACGTCGTGCGTGTGTGTGGACAGGCGTCCGTGTGGACCCACACCAGCGGGCATGCCGAGGGGCTGCCAGCTGACCCCGAAGCGGCCCTCGGCACTTTTTACTGCTTTAAAAAAGTGTAGGAGAGCACAATTGTCAAGTTCTGAGCAGCAGTCCGTGCCTTCGTGTTGAGGGATCGCCTAACATTAGAAATAAAATGTCCCAAGAACACTTTATTTGCAAATTTAGCTGACTCCCTCACTAATTCAGTGAGTTTGGTTTTCTCTCTCGACTTACCCCTCCAAAATTAATTTTTATCTTTTTTTTTTCCTCAAGCCCCCCCCACCATACAAAACCACCAGAGAAGAAAAAGCAGGGCATTTCTTTGTCAGTAATCGTCAGCTACACAGAAATTATTTTATATTCACTTAATTCTGTTTTTAGAAAAAGCTAATGGGAAGAAAGAAAAAAAGATAATTTTGCTTTTAGGCATGTTTGCTAGTTTTATGAGACTCGGATTTTCAGTTTAACTTTATTGTCTCCTAATTTCAGTAGGTTTATTAACCTTCCATGACACAGTTATGTACGGTCCTTTAAAAAAGGGTGGGGGGACAGAAATCCAGCTTGCTCCTTCACCCCTGCTGCTTGCAGGACTACGTAGGATGCAGCTGAAGAGAAACGAAAGCAGCGTGAATGTTATGTATTTCAATACTATAGGACATGAAGCTCTTCATTAGAGAAACGTAATAAAGAAACTGGAGCCTCCGAACTTGATCCACCACCAGGCTACAGTTCTCATGTATTTTATAGGAATTTTCTTTCAAAATAAAACCCAAGTAAAGTAGCAACCCACTAACATCTTGCCCAAGGCCAAACTCCAAAGAATTTAAAAAAATTTAATGACCACGTATGCCTATGCAGTTACCCAGCTTTGTTAAATCTCCACAGTATTTTTCCTGCTTGTGCTTTGAAAATCTTTTAAACGTATATTTCAAATTTCTATAACTCGAGTGACTTAGTTATCTGGAGAAAACATATGTAGTTCTTTTTTTTTTTTTTTCCCCTCCTAAGGGAAACAGGATTTTGAGTTGAGAGAATGAGAGGGAGCAGATAAAAACACAAATGTGTGAATGCACGGTGTTGGAGCTGCACACACGCGACCCGTAAACTCAGAGGACTTGGTTCACGGGTGCCTAGAAACTTGGGGAGGTTAAAAACTTAGACTATTTTATTTATTTTAATAGAGGAAAGGTTTTTTTTTTTTTTAATTTTGGGTGCTCTTTTTGAATTTTATTTCCTAAAGAAAAGCTAATAGGTATGGCAAATGGAATGATTCCCACTGGCCAATCTCTTTTGAATTGGAACAGATTTCTCCATTACATTGTTCCAGAAAAATACACTCAGACATACCAGTAAACTGCTTTACTAACAAGTTGGTGACATGGAAGGGGCCGCAGGAGCAGGCTACTTTTGCAAGATTCAGTCCCTCTTTTTAGTGAAACTGAGGACAAACAGCTCTCAGCAGGTTCCCCTTCAATGGCCTAAAAGCTGAGAGGCCAGATAAAATTTGGGGACAGGGACATGGTCAGTTCTCCTTCTGTAATCCCCTGTGTGTGGGTGGGGGAGACTCACTGTTCTATATAGCTCTGTGGAGTTTTTGTTTGCCTTTGGGCCTGTGCATACGAGTACAATTAGTGAAAACTATTTCTAGAGACTCAGAAAGATCTCAATGCAAGAGTCTTCTCATCCCTTTTTTTCACCCCACATGAGAACTGACTGAATCTCGACTGAGCTTTCTTTTTGGTTGAACAATGCAACTCTACTTGGCAGATGAAATGTCCTTCTTTCCCTTTTTCTTTTTCCTTTCTAATGTATCTTTGTTGATTCCAAAGTAAACTATTACTATTTTGGATGCCATGCATTGTGAGTTTATTACTCCTCTGCTGTGAGGTGTAGAGGACATACTTGTAGTCTGCTCTTCTGGAGGCTGTGTGTGTTGTGTGGGTTTTTTTTTTTTTGTTGTTTTGTTTTTAACTTTCAAAAGAATTAAAAAAGAATTGCATGTGTTTTAAGTGATAGGGGTTTCCACTTATCTTTACACATGATTTTAATTAGTAAACAGAATTCCCTTAACTAAGAGCTGATACGATCAGTATTTTCTTTCTAAAGCACTATCATTCTGCTAAGTGATTCCATGATAAAGTAGAGGGAAGGTATTGTTTTCTTCCTCGAGTGCATTCTGCATACAAACACTCAGACACAAGAACCAGGTCAATCGCTAATCTAAAAGGCAAAATTGTATTTATTTTTTCCCCAATGGGTGGAAGGTCCTAATTGTAAATAATTGAATTTCAACACCTGCAAATAAGCAGTGTGTGCACAAGAGACGTAATGTGAACACAGAGAAATGAATTTATCCCCATATGGGTATGTTTGCCCCCTGGCAATGCATTTCCATACTCTTTAACTTGGGGACTGAAATTTTATAAATTGACAGTTCTGCTCAGAAGACCTTTCAAGCATCTTGTGTTTATGAGAATACAGGGGCATCTGCGGAATGAATTCAAACACATGGATGAATTAAATTTGAACACACGCAGACGGAGAAGCAGGCAGCTTCTAGGCTGTGGTCACTGCGTGGATTTTGCAAAACTGTTAACCTCTGTGTTTGGCTCTGTGTATCCACAGTCCTGTAAGGGATGATTGGTTTCAAAATTCCACTTTGATTACACTACTTTTAAAAATTCCCTAAATGGGCATAATTTAGGTTAGTTCTGTTCTGTAGTTAAATCCCTACTCTCTCACTGCTAATTAGCATTATTTCTTTTTCTGTGGCGGGACTTCGAATATTACGTCATAAAAACAAGTGAAGCGTGCCGCAGGGTTGGGCTCGGTATATGATTTTGGCTAAATGCTCAGATTCCCCTGTGCCATCTCAGCAGTTTGGTGTTGGGAGTCCACCTAAGCTACCATGTTGTTGTTTTGTTTTTTTTTTTACAGAAAACATGCTTTAAACTGCCACAGAATGAAGCCTGCCTTGTTTAATGTGTTGTGTGAAATCAAAGAGAAAACAGGTAGGAATGAGAATCCAATCTTTTGGCATTTTCTTCGGCCAGTTGAATCACTTAACCTGCAATCATGAACGTCGTATTTAAAATTAGAATTTCAGAATGAAAGTGCTGATTGCCCAATCTCTAATACCAAGTCCTCGTCCTGCTTTCTGTAAAGAAGGAATCCAGTTTCTCTGACGCTGTTTTCCAGTAGTACAGGTTTATTTTCCTTAACTCTTTCTCCACCCTTTTGGAAATTGAGGCTAAAATGTAGGTTCTGAAGGAAAATTCGTAGAATGGTGTGTCTTTGGGGAAAAATATGAAAGTGTCCATTTCCCGAAAGAATGTACTTTGGCCCATAATTAAAACCCCAATTTATTTTGTGGCGTTGGGCTGGGGCGGAACTGTTTAAAGTTTCTTTTTTCCCCTTTTTTGCTTGTACAAAGAGCGGGCTAGAGGCTGTCCACAGAAAGTGTTGTCAAATACCTTTGTGGGAAGCGCCTTCCAACAGTACCTCTCCGGCTTGGCCTGGGATTTCCTAGCGGGTGAGAGGTAGAGCGCACTGCCTAGAGAGCCCTGGCTCCTGTTCCACTCTCCAGGACTCAATATCATGGACTAACACACTTAGAACACACCCCAGGAGGGCATTTAAATTTTAAAGCAACAATTAAAAAATAGCCGTCATCAATCAGAGGTGTTCTTAAACAGCAGGTGCTGTGGGAAGGACATTTAGCACCATCCTCTTGTTTGTTTACTTTAATCCTTAATTTTCCAAAGTGGCTAAATCTCTCCCTTGTAAGGAGAAAGAGTTTGAAAGGCGATCTGAAGCCATGGCATAGAGATGAGAGACCTGGCTACATACAGGGGCAGCTTCTGCTGGGCTCTGACTCCTGCTCCCTTTGAAGCAGCGCAAAGTACCCGACATCCTACTTATTTATTTATTTTTTACAACAAGGACTGTAACAGTCAATAATTCATATCTAAACCATATAAGCAAGGGCATGACACGAATGAAAGTGACGATAAATATGATGGCATGCCCAGTTGATATACATTGATAGTCACACAGAAAGGGGGCAGGGAGGGCCGGCGCCAAGGTGGCTTTCTTTTTGGGGAGCTTTCTGTGTTTCTCCTTTAAAAAATAAATAGTTTCAAGATGTGATTGTTGATTGAGTTCATGATTACTTGGGCTTCGAATGTACGTGGGATCAGCAAGCGGCTCTTTGCTGGGTGTTCTTTATGGTGTGCTGGTATCCAGACAAAGCACCTGGGCCGTGCGGCCTGGACCTGCTGTCCACCAGGTCGCCTCGCCAGCCAGGGACCTATTGCAAAACGGCTAGCTGCAGTTTTTGGCTGGGAGACACTTCTTACGAGACTCATGGATTGTGCATACGAATATCACAAGGGCTTTTCTCAGTTCGTAACCATTTTTAGTTTTTTTACCCCCCTCAGGAGTAAATGTATATATATGTCTCTCTATTTTTCTCCTCTCTCCTTTTTTTCTTCCTTTTTCTTTGATCAGTAATGCTCATTCACTTTTAATGCTGGGTTTGTTAAAATTTGCTTCTAATTAAGTATGAGTTTCTTCTGATCTTGGATCATAAAATGCAGAATCAAATAGAAAGAAATATGTAATAGTCCAGACTGAGAGAGTTTATTTTTGAAGATACTTTTTTTCAGATTTTCATTGAGAGGCAGCCTGTCAGGGCACTTAATGTACACTGTGGCGAGAGTGTTCCATTCTAGCCTCGTAATTAAAACCTACCGAGGCAGTAGGTCAAAGTGGGTGGGTGGGAGTCAGGTGGGGGTCAGGAGTTGGTGTCTTGTTGTTACGGGCTAAGGCCTGGAGGGGCAGAGCAAGTGTGGTGGCCTAAATAACATTTTAAAGATGCAATTTGTGGCTGGAATACATATTTTGGTTTTTAAAATTTTATGTCGACACACTTCATGTTTGGAAATTCAAAAAAATATCTAAGTTGTGTGTGTTGTGTCTAGAATAATGTATTTAGAAAATAGCTTATAAAATGATGTAAATCAAAAGTTTAAAGATACTTGTGCCCTCCGTTAAGAGAGAAACACGCACATGCACACAGGCGTCGCACACACGGAGTTTGCGTCTGAGGGGACACCTTGAGTGGAAGTTGGAGAGAGAGCAAGACATCCCCCCCCCCCTGGCCTTCAACTTGAGTGGGGAGGGCTGGGGGAGGGGCACTGCTGGGGAGCCTGAGAGCTGTGCTGGACATAGGCGTCAGCCATGGGTGATGCTCCAGGGGCCCAGCCACCTCTGGGCTCTCAGAGGCTGCAGGCCCCTGCTCCAGGCCAGCGTGTCCTCCGTGTCCTCCGCGGGGTTGGTGTAGGTCTATGTGAAGCCCCCTCTGCCCTCTTGGTGCTGAGCTAGAAACATGGAAGGGCGGCTCCAGCCAGCAGCTCCCGCCTCCTGTGCCTGGCCCTTCCCGGGCCTGGCCTTCAAGCCCTTTGGTGGGAACAGTGCTCCTGAGCTCCACCCAGCCCTGCGGAGGTGGCCCCATGTCATGGGCTCGGCACTTGTTCTACTCTGACCTGAAGTTCACACATCGGCCTGGCCTTCAGAGCTCTGCCCGGGAGCCGGCCGTCCTATCCACCCCTGCTTTTGGTTTTAGGTTTCTGTAGTGACTTTAGTTGGGAGACTCAGGAGTAAATGGGGTGTCTTCCCCACCTTTTGGAACTTTCAAAAACAGGCGCGATACCTGAGGTAGGCAGCGGGTCTGAATTACAGTTGATTGATGGGTGTTTAAGTCAGAAATTACTGTGGGGACACTTGAAAAAGAAGAACCCCTGTGTCTGCTTGCTTCAGAGTGTGAGTAAGTTTTTATTTTGATACTTTTTTTGCTTTTTAAAAATAAATGCCAAGATAAAAGAAAGCCATAAAAAAGCTCAGGGAGCATATTCCAGACAGCAGCAAGAAAGCCCTGTCAAGACCACGGTGTGAAGATTTCAAGTGGCTTTTATCTGCACACTCATTCGGGAACCAGAGACTCGACATGCAGTCTTGGGCCATTTAGTGGCACATTTTCTTTTGTTTTTTAAAGAACGGTTCCTGGTCTCCTGATACAGGGGACCTCAGGCTTGCACAGGTGTACGTGGTGGCAACTGGGCTGGCGGGGTGCAGGGGAAGAGGAGAAAAGCCAAACACGTTGCATTTCTTTAATTAAAAAAAAAAAAAAAAGAAGAAAGAAAGAAAAAAAAAAGACTCAGAATATATTTTTAAACATTGCTTGGTTTTAAAATTTTTATTTCTGGGTCAAAATCATGCAGGTTTAAAAATTGCAAAAAGAAAAAAAAATAGATGTCATTTAGTAAGAAGAATATTTATAGATAGCAATGAATAGTTGCAATTGTTGTGAATAGTTTTTAATTTTAGAATATAATAGCTATATATGGTGCTTTTCAGCCAGTTTTCCTCAGTGCATAATGTGCACTGAAGTTAAGTCGAATAATTGGAGGAGGTTAAAAAATTATTTTTTGCTTCCTCAACCCCCTTTGTTCTCTCTCTTTCCCTTTGCTGTGTTCAATTAACACCCCCATCACGGAACTGTGGGGTGTTTTTAAGTCTACTACTGTATTTCTTTTTTGACACCTCCCTTATTCTTCTTGCCTGACTCTTCTTTTTAATATGGCAATTACATTATGGGACTTCTACTCCTCTCCTCTCCTCTCCTCTTAAAAGCATTGTAGAATACTGTGTGTGTGTGTGTGTGTGTGTGTGTGTGTGTGTGTTGGGTTCCTACGGAAGGAAGCTGTATATTGCAGGGAGTAATTCTGATGGCTTTAGTCCGTGAGCAGAACAGACTGAAATGACTTCAGGGAGGTTAGAGCAGCCCAGATCAGATTCCTCTCAGACTTCAGGCAGGACTAACTTTTTGTAGAAGCTCATCTGTAGCAGGTAAATGCAAATCTTTCTTTTTCTAATAAGAGAATACAAGAATTTGGTCTTTTTAAAAAATTATTTTAATAATAATAATGAGGTATATAATAATAATATATTATTATTATTATTATTATCATTTTGGTAGCAGGGTCTAAGAAGAGAGAAGGCACACCTGAGGGAAGGTACGAGCCAGTTTTAGCTGTGCGCCCCTCCTCAGGCGGCAGGCGGTGGCAGTCCTGTGGCCGGGCACTGCCGTGTAGAATGGCATGGACATGCGCTGTACACCTATAGTTGTGTCTCGGAAATGCAGGGACAGGATGTGTGCTGAGCTTGGGACCACAAGGCCCCTTCTCTTCGGGCACTCTCCTGCACTCCATGTTTTAGAAATGGGTTTAGAAAAATGCTGCTTTTGAGAGGTGGGGAGAAGGATGTGGAGAGGGCTTGGTCAGCTGCCAGGAGATTCTCCTGGACTCTAGGAGTGGCTTGTGAGGGAGGGCAGGGGAGCTGTAGCCGGGGGCTGTGAGCCAGCCTGGCTGGGTGGAGGGGTTGTCACCTGCCCGAGTTCAGCTGCCTCTACCCACTGAGGGCTTCTGCTCGTCTTCTATTGACACCAGGAACTTTTCCCTGTTTTTGGCAAATTTGCAAAAATATTTACAAATAAAATAACCAAAACCTGGTATGAAACACTCGGAAGTAGAAAGCCCTTTTGATTTTAAAGCATAAGCCTGGCTTCTTCTGAAACATGGTTTACTTCCTGCATGCCTTAGGAACGCTGATCCTTCATTTTGTTTTCAAACATCTTTTAGATGCTGCTGTGTTTGAACTTAGTGAAGTAGATGTCGATATATGTTTATTGATTTTCTTTAAAAAAAAAAAGTTCACCCCAAGCACCGTGAGCAAAGCACTCTGCCAGCCCCAGCCCCAAAGACACCGCCATTCGCTCATGACCTAGAGGGGCACCTGCCCAGGTGCTGCCCGACCGACCTGGGCTAGAGGACAGTAGTGGCCCCGGCCCACATCTACCCCTTACCTGAGACACTGTGTGAGAGCCAAGGAATGCAGTAATTGATGAATAGCATAAATGGAGGGTTAATGAGTTGTTTGCAAAGCCCTTGGA